CACATGAACCTTCCAAACGCGTAGCATAAACCCGCCATGGGCATGATAGACCCCAACACTTGAGGACCATATGCTCAGGCCTTGATCTTGAGTTTCTGTAGTGGAACTTATGGTGTAACGCATATATAGCCATGTGAAGTTTAAACTCATCCCGGTTTGTGAAGATCATACCGACATATATGTCTTGGGGATTGTTAATACCTATTCCTACAAGTGAACATTGTACACATTAGTTATAATTGATTGACTTGTTATAGTTTTTGTAAATAGTTTATTACACATGCAAGAAAAAATCCATAAGTTATTTCCTCGATTAGCCGCTACAAAATACAATAACCATATTAAACAAAAAAAAATGGGTTAACTTACATAACCCCCTACATGGGCTTAATAATATAGAAAATGGCCCACATTGCCAATCGGTTAAAACATTACATACTATTTTGGTTAAATGATATTAAGACCCACCAGCATTATCGCTTTCCTCGGAGGAAGTTCCACTATTATCTTCTTCACCAAACGGGCCTGATGGGCCGGTTGCCAAGGTCAACCCAAGAGAAGGACCAGCCGATTCACTGGGGAATAGATTGGTTGAGACTGGAACAGAGTTGGGGACAGACCCGAGAACACTTGGACCGCTATCTGCCATAAAGACCAGCTAATGTTACTAACTTACGGTTAATACATTTTCCTGATAGGTATTTCGTATCACATGACGGATAAAGTAGTCTATAGCCGTTAACAAAATTATTACCTTGAGTTGTAACTTCAGGCGGTGGTGGTGTGATATCCTCTGCCACGCTCACTTGAATAACTGGGGATTGTGTAGCGGTCGGCTCAATAAGAGCTAAATCGTGTTCTGATTCAAAATTAGCCATTACACATATATCGCTTGAAGAACCGGTTGAAGAGTAACTTTCATTATCATCAGAGCAAAGAAGGACCGTGTTATTGATCTCTACAGTAGTTGGTGGACCATCGGGCATAGAAATACCTTCGTTGTGTATCATTTCTGTAACCCCAACAATTTCGTCAAAAACATTTGGATCAGCCATGTTACTATCACAGTCAAGCATAGCATCATCAATGCCACCGTATGTTTGCGCCTCAGGTGTTTGAATGCACGTGTCAAGCAAGTTCATACTGACGTCCCCGAAATCATAAGCTTCCTGGTTGAAGTTGCACAGTGTTAGGAGTATTCCATCTCCCTGCATAGCTTCTGCCCCTACATAGTTTTGTTATTTTGGTAAACGTTTCTTTTATACAGATATTTTATTTTAYAGCAGCTATTTTTTAGTCATTTCCGATAACACTAAACTTATACGAGTGATAACGCCTGACTAATGAAATATTCAAGTACATCAAGCTGAGTGTTACGTACTCGATACTATATACTGTAGCTCACCATTTTCCGATGGACCGTCTGCGTTTGCTTCGATGATGTTACCATTAACCTCGCCTGGTCCCATATAGACATCTTCATCATTATCCAGGATGATGATCTCGTTTCCAGCTGAAGAGTACTGGTGGACTGTATCCACTAGCGGATTGGGCAGAGGGTTTGAGTAAAGCATCTCTAGGTGGACTCTGTAAATAGCGAGCATCTCTTCTTCAGTGAATATCTCCTCTAGAGCCCTTTGTGCCGCGGGGATGGTTCTCCCTGTTATCAGCGCTGTATTGGAGGGAAAAAAATGTTAAAATCTAAAATTAATGTATATCCAAAAACGGTTCGTAACAAATGGATTACAAATCTCTATGTACCGTAATAATCCGAAAGGCCACTGCTGTCTTGATTTTCTGTGAGGTAAGTTATTGCTCCAACATTAAAGGCTTTTCTACACTGGAACTGGTATGTTGCTACTGCCTCAGATCCGAATGTTACACATATCGCAAAGTCGTTGAAGCAGAAGCGGATTGACATGAACATAGCAACGTCAGAGTATGATAAAATATCAAACGGTGGCCCACTGTTACGAAAGGGTTCGTGGATCCAATCCGGCAACCTGTACGTCAAAGCCAAAGGTGTTGTTGGGAGCAAGTACCTTCTCCTTACGATGCCCATTAATGACTCATAACTCTCTGTTTCACTCATGACAGCTCCGACCCCAAGATCGGTTGGATCACTTCGGAATTTCCACCTGCCATAGTCTGTTTTCACCCAATCTCCTCGCAAAAGCCTTACCAATCTCACCATCTACGCATTTGGAAAAAAATTAAACAAGTTATCGACCATATTTATTTACATCCGAACATAAACGTCAACATAATGAATGCCTTTAACATAAATAACTAATAAACAGCAGAACATGTCATTAGTAGAGGTTTAAATGATTTTTTTTCTTAGATCTCAGCTTCAAAATTTAAAGGATAAAACAGAATTAAATTTGTCGAACTACCTTGACGAGGTAGGTGATGAGATTTGTCTGATTCTAGTTGTTGGTTGACAGTGATGGTTTTATATGGTCATGCAATGAAAGATGGAGGTGAAATGTTTTGGCTCTCTGTGTCAACTCTGAACTCGACGGCTACTATTATATATAAAAAGTAAGTTTTATGTTGTGTAAAAAATCTATACAAACCATATATGTGTATGTATTTACGAAAGATCTCCATAATCTATGCATTTATTGTGTGCCACCTTGACAGTGTTACTTGTGGCTCTAATGCCTCTATCGTCATCCTACTAGTCAAACAGTAACCTATAAGATATTGCCTTTGTTGCTAGAAGATTTGTAGCGGTTACCAAGAGAACTTCAGTAGCGTGTGTGAGGGTTGTTTACGTAATTGTACATCAAATATGCTACACAGTCAACTAATTTTTGAAATCTTATGTTATTTTCTGCATTTCACTAAAATATATGGTTTATGAGCTAGTTATCTCAAAAAACAAATACATAAATTGAAGAAAAATCTCCAAGAAAACATTTTGAAGTAATCAAATAAGATTTATTGTTTTAAATTCTATAAATAAATGTAAACTTGTCACAAAAGACTTATTGTATGTCTTGTATAGTGTGGAAGCCAAGACTAGCACAATTAGATTTGTAAGGGTTTCGAGAGAAAGCAGAGATTTCTAAGTTAAACTACGAGAGAAAACGATGAGCCAAAAAAAGTTTTTATTGCTGTGTTTGCTTTTGTCAACAAAGTTGCGGATACCTTTATAAGGGTTTTTACATTGATATATATAGCGTTCCTAAGTCGGCTAAGCCTTTTCCATAAACAATTATGCTCCGTTTCCTAAGTCTTCGCGGATTTCCTTTTTGCCTATGTCGGTCGCCGAAGTGGGCTTCACAACTGGACTGGGCCTCAGTGCTGAGGCTACAAGCTCCCGCGGTTGTTTACATTGTCGCTTTAAAGCCGCTATGTCATCTCCTGGAGATGTCTTGACTTGTCCTCTTAGCTGGTTAAGGGCCGAAGCCCAACCCAGTTGATCATCGTCGCCGCTTCGTAAGAGCCAAGAGGTCGTCGTCGGCGCTCCGTAAGAGGTCATTGGTGTCATCTCCTCTTCGGGTCATCGGTGGCACCCGCAGGGAGTCATCGACGTCATTCCACGCCGGGTCCTCGGTGACACCGTCCGTCATGATCACTCATTTTGCGTCGCGGAATGACTTAGAGGTTGTATAGTCTTAGGCGTTAAAAGTCTTAAGGATCGTTTCTCATGTCAACCAAACTTTCAGCATTAACGTTGAGCGGGTGAAATCCGACCCCAACAGTTAGCCCCCCAACTCGGTAATGTTAGCGATAACAGTATCGAGTTAGAGATATTGAATGTCGAGATGTTACCGTTCAAAGTTTGGATGTTACTGTTAGCGTGATGCTGTTGGCTTGGGCCGTTAATGTGCGTCGACCCTGCAAACGCAGCGCTCTGTCGGCTAAAGTCGTCATCACTGCAATAGAGGA